TCTTGGCTATGACAGCCCCTGATGCCACAGTGTTGCAGCATAGCTCCCGAGATGCCATTGGATCTCCACTCTGAGCTACCAGATGGGAAAGAACACGAGTACTGAGAGGTGCTCCTCTAGGCCCCACCAGAACCAGCAATTGGATGTCTGAGCTGATTGAGGCCCCTCAGACATGCACTTACCTCCAGAGAACAGAAGAGATGATGGCCAGCTGCACTGGGACCTGTGGTTCCAGGAAGCCTTCTAGCTCCTCCATCCTTGAAGATGATATGGTTGCATTTACATGGAGATAGTGAGCAAGTCAGCAGGCTATGGGCCATTGTCCCCTTCCAAAGGGTGCAAACAGGGTGTGCTTACACAAAAAGATTGTTTGCATCTAACCATAGAGCAGCAGCTGTGTCAGCACACATTGTCCTGCTAGCCCTGGACTTGCACAGACCCCATGAAGTAGCTCTCTGCTGTTACACTGGCACTATGGCCCACAGCACACTGATCCAAAAGCACACAGGGAAAACCATCGTTACAAAGTGCTTTGAAATCATTTTCACTGCAAGGACAGAGAGATGTGCAGGGGACAAAAATCAGCTCTTTTGCCAACCGTGTCAAATGTTTTTAACAACCTCTGGTACAAAACAATGCAGTGAGCTCTGCTTATGAATTGTCACCATCCAGCACCATGCTTCAGCCTGTGGAGAAAACTGCTTTAACTTATTTTATGTGAAAAGAGATAGACATACATACACATACAAGGCACAGACACATATAATATAGGAGGCAGAGAGAATCTGTATCTACATTTGCGGGTATCTTCCTGCACCAGGTAAGGAAAGCATCTTTCTTCTTTTAAGCGGGTGCTGTATGCACATTGTTTCCTTGCAGTCTATCTTTAGGTTATAACAGTTCACAAGCTTTTTTTTCTGCAGATGTATTATTCAATTACTTCAGGGCTTTTCCATTTGTAATATTATGAAGCAATGATAGCCAGCAGACTTCACCTGTCTTTTAGAGATAGCCAGCCTGGTAATTTTAACTCTGCCCATTTTATCCACACCAGTAAATCTCATAACATGGTTATAGAGAGATTCCAATTTTTGTAGAATCTTCTCCTGGGAATTCCTGTATACAATATTGCCATAGTCTGTAATGGACATAACCTGTGATTGGATTAATGTTTCCCTAGTGAAGAAGTCAAAGCATTTCATGTTCCTATAACTGGTTTGTAGCTTAGCAGTAAAGGTCTTTGGTGTGGCAGAGAAAATAATTGCAAACTCAGCCCCAATCAGAATATATAATCCCTTCACAGCGAGGGTCCAATTCAACAGTTAGACCGCCTGTGCAGGGGTTTCTAGCAGGATTTTCTTGTCAGGAGAGCAGAATGCACAGAAAACAAGTTAATTTCAGTATTTTAATATTCATGAGCCAGTCCTGGGCAAAGCAAGGTAAAGTCATTGCTACTCCTCCAAAGGAGGGCCCTCCTGCTCCCAAGGCAGAGAGCAGGGGCAGGCAGGACAATGCAGCGGGGCTCCAGGCTCCCCACAAGGAAAGCCCCCCAGTCGGGCTCAGATAAATACATGCATTTGTTCCCAAAATAAAATTTATTTATGTCCTGTCAGACACAACAATTTGGGCTTTGTATTGTCTTCTAAACCTTTCAGAATACCTGGTGTTACCTTGGACCTTACACACAAGAACAGGAAGGAATTACTTGTTGAGTGCACCTTATGGCTGAGACACAGATCTACTTCTCAGGAAAAAGGGACTCAAACCACAGCAGCTGAAAAGAGGCCGGAAACAGGCTATGAAGTGGGATTTCCCTGCTCAGATGGAGGAAAAAGACCTCAGTGCTCACATGGGGGAAGCTGAACTAGAGACAGAGAGCAGCTCCCATGATGGTGTCCCCAGGCACTTGTGAAATGGTCACAGACAGTGCCACATCAAATTGTAATTGCTGGCAGAGAACCAGCAGAAGGGCTCAAGCTCTGCCTCAGAAGGCCAGGGAGAGCTTTCAAATAACAGTTTATTGGTGAACCATGAAAGCAAAGGTGGGTCTCTGGAAAAAGCACTATAGTTTTGCTGTGCCTAAGGGGTTCAGAGGCGACATTATAGAGATCTCAAAGTGGAAAGATGGGTGGGGGCAGCTATTAGTGGAACAGAAGATGTAAGAGAGAAACTGAGACAGAAGTGAAATGAATCTGAACACAACGTGCTGGAACAAGGATGGAGAGGGTGGGCTCCAAAACGGGCATGCTGCCTGACTGAAGAGCAAGGCAGATGCTCTTGGCAGATAACCTTATGTTTGGATGTTATGGTATTGCTAGGCAGGTGGAGGGGATGGGAAGAAGGTTACCAACATGGGAGCTGACAAATGGGATGTCATCATTTCCCATATGGGTAACTATCTCCAATCTGTCCTTTCTATCCGACTAAAGCTTGGGATATCTCAGCAGAAAGGATACCACTCTGGCAGAGATGAGGATTCCACATTAGGTCTTCACAGAGTTGAAAATTGCAGGCTCTGGGGTAGATGTGGGTGACAGAAAACAAGTAGAAACAGCGATTTCAGGAAAATCCAGTTATTAAATCTGAACTTAAAAGGCTGACTTTTACAAGTCAGATGGCAGGAATCTCTGACAGCTGATATCAGGGCAGCCCAAGGGCTTCCCAGAACCAGCTTGTCCACTTCTTGGTCTCAAAGTGACTCTGGGAGCCCTTGGGGAAGATGGAATCTGAAAATGAAACAACACGCACATTCCTCAGCTGCTTTTATCACTTTATTCGTATTTCTTGAGCAAATCCTTTAGCAGCTAAGCAAATATCTGAAACTCTCTTATTATATATATGCATACGTATATAAATAGAACCATTCAAAAATAAATAACAAGGAATTCTGCAAATATTTTCCCACTGAATATGCAAAAGGAACATTTTCCTCCCAGTAAACCAACTTTGAAAGTCTTCCACTAAAACCCTATAAAACCCAATGATAGTCATAAATTAACAGTAGATTAATTCAAAGGAGAACTTATCCCCCCTCTGCATACCTTCTAATCCATATCTCCAAGAGGTCATTTTAATTATCACACTGTCACAGCTATTCATTACTCTGCTCTAGGAGACAGAGAGCCAGCACTATGCCTTTTGGATGCCTTGGAATTCATCATACGAGGGCGTTTTATTCTCCCTAAAATGCTCACAGTTTAACCCCCTCACCTTGAAAGACTGACAACATCACATTTGCTCAGTATTTTAAACTATTCTCCTTCCAGTGGGGTATCTCGTTTTAGCCAAGTTACCCTTTTCAGAGACAAACTAACTAACTAATGGACTAATGAAAGCTCAGCAAGCAGCTGACCAATGCACAGAAACAATCAGCTCAAGTTTTGTCAGATCCTGAGTAGTTTGCACTTTTTCAGAGGCATGCAAAGCCCTTTTTTTTTTTTTTCTCCCAAATTGTACCTGCTCACTCATTCTGATTGCAGTCATGCTAATCAGATTGGAAACCATGTGCCAGTGGTCCTAAGAGGGCTGTCTGGGTGGTGCAATAGGACTACAGAAGAGTGTGTGAGGTCCTAAGACACAGAATGCAGACCTTGATCCTGCTTGCTTTGTATTAGCTTGTGTGGCAGAGACCCCAAAGGACCTTATGCAGAGCTCCCTTACACCCAAAATAACACTGGGACAGATACAGTATTCAAAGACAGATGAGCATATGAGGAACTACTAGTTTCCTGGCTGCATAAATACAACTCAGGTTGCTTTCTGGTAGTTCTTTGTAGGCTCGTAGATTGGTTTAGTGTTGGTAATGCTCAGGTTCCGCAGCCAGTTCTCCACTGCTGAAGATACAGGGAATATTTTCACTAGGGGCAGTAAATTTAAATAGCCTGGAAGGTCCATTGCCTATAATTTCCAGTTTTTCTCATATATCTTCATTTTTGCCCAGGATGCTTTCTTCTCTATCCAGCTCATCATGACTACCCAGCTGGGTCTGACCTTGTTTCTAGATTGCAAGGGTCATGTCCTGTCTTAGAGAAGAGGAGCAACCAACCTCACTTCCTTTACTACAGAGTGTCTTGGACTGCTACTTCTTTGGGACCACCTGACACCAAGGGGAACTCATTCATTCTTGTTTCACATATCTCCCTTTAACCTCATTCTGGTTCATCCTTCCCCTTTCTATCCTCTGGGTCTCAGCACCTTCTCTTTCAGCGCTACCCCTCGCTGACACTGCCTCAGTCATAAATCTTTTGGAAGCCCACTCTTCCCAGATTCCTACCAGCTACTGCTGGAGGAACATGGTTTCTGCCTGTTAGACAGGGCTTGCAGCGAATTTTGTGCTGCACCTGACAGGTGACACCACTAGCATTTCTCATACGACCACTTTCCTCAAATGATCTGATAGAAGAGCAAAAGCCTAACCATGCAGCAGATGATAAACGGCACACTGAGGAGCACCTGCTGGACTCCCAGAAGCTATTTATCAGGCTCTCATAATGCAAGCTAACTGGGCTAGCACATGCAATTGGCATAAAAGCTTCTGAGCCTGACACTAAATGGGGAGACATCACATAGTGAAGCAGGGGAGCCAGGACTCCCTCATTTGCTCATTGTATGGATTACCCCTTAACAGAGAGGGAGAGAGAGGGGCTGGTGGAGGAAGGGGAGGCTTTCTCGTTTTAACAAATAGCTTTTCAGCCACTGCAAATGATTTCTCTAGATCTATTGGGTCACTCTTTTTTTTTTTTTTTTTTTTTTTTTTTACCAGAGAGTAAAAAAAAAAAAAAAAAAGAAAAAAGGCTTGAAATTGATTTACCGTCTATAAATAAAAAAGAATCAATGGTAAAATTTCTAGCTAATTTCCCTCTCCTTCGTTTCCCTCTGGACTATTTGTTATCTTAGAAATACTTATCTGGGAAAAAAAAAAAAAAAAAAAAAAAGAGAAATATCAGCAGTTCCAGCTCCAGCTGCACTCTTCCACCTCACCACACAAACCAGCCCTCCTCTCCTCTCATCGTGCAGGGAGAGATTGGTCCTTCAGGCTTCTCTTCCCTGGCTTGCTGTCAGCATGGCTGGTCCCCTGGCTCTTCTGGGTGGTGCATTTAAAGGCTGGCGGCTTTTCCTTCCTGCCAAAAGAAGAGAGAGAGGACAGGTGTTATGAATGCTGTGGTGTTCCTACAGCAGATAAGCAAACCCTGGGTGGCTGAGCTCTGAGGAGATGCACGTGCAGTCTCACAGGGAAGCATCTGCAAGGGAGGCTTTGGCTGCTCAAGAGAAATTAGAGATGGTTAAGAGAAATTAGAGCTGGTGCCCTGCTCCTCTGGTCAGAGAAGGGTTAGTCCTTCCAGAAGACACTCTGCACTATCTCTGAACTCTCCAAGAGAAAGCTCTGTTTTCCTTCAGGCCAATGCACTTACAGCTGTTTTCTCCTCACCACACTTCTGAAACATTTCACATCATTTTTCCCTATTATCAGCAATCATGTCACAGTGAATATTTCCTTCTGGGGTAGATACTGCTTCCAGGACAGCTGGTTCCCAGGTCTGCTCACCTCTTCATTGCCCCTGCTATGAAGAAGGCTCACAGCCATGGCCAAACTCTGCCCATGTGGCTGGGGAGCACCCATCACGTGGCATGTGATGCCAGTGATTCCAGCACTTCCATTAACTCCAAATATTTAATTATAATGTAAAACCTTACTTGTCACTGTTGTTTGTGGCCTGACCCTTTCAGCACCCTTTGGGCTGCAGACCTCGCAAAGCAGTTGGGGTTCAATTGCTGATCTCTGATGAGGAGAAATACAAAGCCCTCTTTCAGAGATGTGAGCTCATCACAGCCTGGCATGGCTGCACCAGCCTTGTAGCTTCCCACAGCCTGTCCTGTATAGCAGAGCTGCTTCATGTGGTTCTGGTCTCACTGTGTGCTTCCCAGGCAAAGTGCTGCCGGGTGTGTGTTTACAGTGTGCATTCTGGATGTTTGCTGCTTTAAGGAAAAGTAAATCTCTGGCCTTTATTATCTGTTATTTTTTTTTTTAACATTTCTGTTCTGTTTACTTACACAGCCTCTTTGCTTAAAGGCCTTAATTAAACCCTCCCAATTCACAGCCCACCACTTCCACTACCCTCAGGCTCCTGACAGTTGTGTGTCACAGCATGACAAGCACAAACAGCCTCAGCCTGTCTGTCTGCTCATCTAGCTGCTGGGCAGAGCCAAACCTAGGAACCAATCCTCACATCTTTGTACCCTGAGATATAGCTATGATGGGAGGCTGAACGTGAAGGGCCACAGGTCCTACAGCCATGTACCCTGCTGTGCTGGTGCTGTGCTGGAGCAGGAATCTTTGCCTTAGGACACCATGACAGTCATGGAATCACAGAACATCCTGAGTTGGTAGAAATCCACAAGACCTATTGAGTCCAACTCCTGGCTGAGGGAGCTTCACTGCCTCAGCTCTCCCCTCTCTATTGCCATCACAACTGCCACCAGTTCAGCATCTACTGCGTCTCCACAGTTCAACCAACCTACGAATTTTGAAGAGAAAAACACAGAGACAAAAATAAATAAATTAGGACCCTGTGAGGGAGACCTGAGAGGCACACAGAAGTGAGAACAAGTGCTTTCTCTGGTTCTGTGTATAATTACATTGACAAGTTCCTAGACAATGCTGGAGATCCAAACACAGCAGCAGCTGTGGACTGAACAGAGAATCACACAAAACATAGGGAGGCATGTCAGTCAAGACATCCCTGCCCTTGGGCTGTCCCTGTTAGTGCTGACAGCCTGCCCATGCCCAGCACTGAACAGGCAAGGCTTACCCCAGCAAAGGCAACCTCCTTCCCAGAAAGGCAAACTGGGCTGTCTGCTCTTTGCAGGAGAAGAAAGCAACATAAGAAACATGCAAAGAGGATTTTTGCATCTGCATAACAGCTGAAAAGCAAACTCGGGTTAACCAACAGCACTTACAGTGGGATTTTTATTCACTGCCCTTTTTTAGCAGCTATCCAAGCATAAGTTGAGCTGAAGAACCACAAATATCAAGCACTCAGTTCACACCAGATTCTTGTGAGAAAGTGATTTGTGGCCATACAGCCAATTGATAGACAGTTGTGATCAAATCACAGCCCTGCTGCGTGCTCATCACACATACAACAGTTAATCTTGCAGCCATGCAAACTGGTTTGCAAATCTCAGAGGCATAGCAATTACAATACCAAATTTATACCGCACCTCTCAGTCTACTAATTGTACATCCAAAAAATCACCACTTGAATAATCTGAATACATTCACCTTTGGTGCTAAAAAAAAACCTTCAGTACATGCGTGATCTCAACATAATTTTGAGTTACGGAACCCATGGGAAAAAATGCCAACCTCTGATTTCAACAGCAAAATTGCTTCTTTCTAAATACAGGAGGAGCATAATTCACATGGAGGTCTGGCATCTTGGTGATTCCAGAGAGGCTTTTTTTCATGTTCTACAAAATGGAGACGTTGCTTGCTTTAGCTCAGCCCTTAGTTAGGAATTCAAGCCCTATATACATCTACAACAAATGTACTGCACATGTTCACCTCTAAAACAATTTCACTGGTATGTTTAATTGTTAGGAAATCTTAAGGATCTCAGAATAAATTATCAGACCTCCAGACCAGGCTGATGTTTTAGATGAGCTGTGGTTTACACACCACTGTCCTAAAGCAGCGCAGGTGAGCTCACAGCCTGTAAGCACACGTGTGCTCTTGTGGCATTTTGGGCTCTTTCACACATGCTTCTCTTGACATTTGTTTCCAATTGGTGAAGCACGTTGAGGTGGGGAGTGATAGATGTTAGTGACTTTGCAGCTGGCATACTCAGAGGGCCAAAACACAGAAGAGAATTCTGTATTTAAACTGCAAAGGGAGGAGAAAATAAGGTCATTAAAGCCACGTGAGTAGGATCGAAAATGAATCATCAAGGCTGAAAAATGACTAACCTCTGATCCCTGAAACCGTGAAATCTGGTTGCTGTCGTGTGTCTGCTGATCTAATTTTTACACTCTCCCCTCCATTCAAAGGAGGTGTGTTTCCATTGCAGATGGGCCGCCATTGCAGCCAAACAATCAACGCCTGATTACTTCAAATGCTTCACCCTCAGGGATCCACAATTAGCCAGGCCCACATTTGACACTGCAAGGGGAGCACAGTATTTTCTGAGAATGTCTGACAAGTTTCAAATGTAAAAAAACACAAATTAAATGACCCAGCAGATAATGACGGTCAGTGCCCTGGCAGTTAGATAACGTTCGTGCTGCAAAGCAAGGCAATTAGAAGCTATAAAAACAAATTTACAGTGTTAGAGCAAAGGTCAGAAATCCTTAGCCATTACCAAAGGCTTGAATTTTTTTTTTTTTTTAATTTTTTTTTTTTTTTTGTATGTGGTCACCAGTGTCCATTTCCAGAAAGCAAGCACAAACTCTTGTACGTAGGTGACCACTCACCTACACCTTTTACAGCAGATTATGATTTCTGGGCCTTGCAAATCCCACTATCTCAGTGAATGGAGGATAATATCAGAACTACCTGGAGACCTCATCAAGTCCTTACTGTGAGGCTATACCTTTCTGAATGCAGGAATCAGTCCAGTGGTGCCAAGGCACCATATTACAGCTGCAAAGTCCCTCTCAGGAGACTTTGCAGATGGCTCTCCCTTTGCCACTGAAGGTTTTGTCTTGTCCTCTGTCCTCCTATTTTCTAAAGAGAAGCAGCAGGAGAATAATATATTGCTAGCAAAAAAATGATTGTCTCTTTGTGTCTTGAGTTTGTTCAAATTAGAAATACGATGTCAGGATTAACATGCTATATACACCAGACATTAACCAAGTCAGCTCATTCAATACATAGCAACTCTCTATGCTTTCACAGTGGTGTGCTCTATCCTCCTCCTTAGAAATAGGAGGAGAGTCCACGCAGGGGTGAAGCTGGAAAAAACACAGATGATTTAAATCTGCTTACCGAGCCCCAGCTTCTTCAGAGCAGCAAGCCTGGAGAAGGAAGGGAAAAGCAGGTGGGAGTCTCCAGGGGTATCTACATGAGGATGCCCCAGAGAGCTAATCCAAATACATTTAGGGTGTAAACCGTGAAGGTGATTAGTCAAACCACAGTAAGCTCCTATGTGGATATGCTCCTTCAGAGTTAAAGTAGCCATAATTCAATTCATTCATTTAGCTCATTTCCAAAAGTAAATTAAGGTAGAGTAAATTAAATTAAACCATCTGACAGCACCTTCATTTTGAAAGGGATTGTTAACATGGACCCAGCCTACTTCCTACAGTAATGCAGATTACTTTCCCCTGCTGTACAGGCATGCTGGCTCCCTGGACCAGTCTTGAAGTGGTGTGTTTTTACACATTCTTTACATGGGGATTTCTGAAAGCAGGACCAGTGCTGAGGTGTATCTGACTGTTTGCACGTGCTTTAGAGTGCATGCCTAAATCCAGGCTGAAATCCTTCTAGCCAACACTGGCCCCCAAGTGCTTGAGGAAGCAATTGTTGTAGTGGGGTGTTTTGGTGAGTGCTGCAAATCTCCCCAAACCCTGCAAAGGGATCCTCTTCATTGAACCCACTCAAATGTGTCACAGTTTAAAACCTGGAAAGCTTTCCTTAATGACAGCTACAAGTATTAAGAGTTGCATAAAACGTGTAGACATGCGTGGGAGTGAGCTGACATTATAATTACCAGTTGAGAAGGGGGAAAAAATAAAAATTATTTTTTGAGGCAAAACATATAATTTTCCTTTATGCCACAGTAGTGCTCCCATTTACAAACCTGGAAATCAGATTGAAGTTGTTTGACTCCTTAGCAGGTTTTTATTTTTATTTCTTTTTAGAGGTGCACTGACCAATGTGGGAGGATAAAGCGGGGCTTTATTTAGACACTCACATGAGCTTTGCACTGTTGGAACAGGAAGGGAAGTGGTAAGATGCCCTGCAGGCTTCCAAAGCATTTCTGTCCTAGCTGGTAGGATTGTGTATCACTACAGCCCCAAACAGCCCTTCCAGGGGCACAGGGAAGATTCTTAAATTCAGACTGGTGCAACCTGTCGTTACAAAAGTGACACGGCTGTGGGGCACCCATTGGCCAGGTCCAGC